CCAAGACAGCTGAGGCTATGTACCGATTATCTTATAAGACGAACATATTCCTAGTCTTCTAGATAACCTTTCTCATCATTGACCATTCCTTTGACTCACTCAGCCCAACCTCAATCACTCTGTTAAGTCTTCTCAAGTTCCAAATCTCAAACATGAAGTTCTCAATCGTCGCCGTCGTTCTTCCCCTCATCGCGGGCACGAGCGCCGCCCCGTCAGTCGTTGAGCGCCAATCCCCCGCATGCGTGGCCTACAGCGGCAAATTCCCCCACGAGCTTGTCTGGGGACAGTGGTTCCTTTGCTGCAACTACAATGGTCCTGATACCACCGTAAGTCAAGATTTAGTCTTCAACAACGATGGCTTTTCCAAGTGGCGTTACGTCTTTACTAATGATACTACTTATAGACCTACCAGAACTGCTGCGACCGACAGGGTGCGGGAACTGGAAGCGGCTTCCCTGGATGTGCTTAGACTTAGAGCTTATGCATTCGGTTCTTGTAAATAAAACTCTCGCAATGTCTGCGGGCTTTCACAACAATCAACTTAATTGCCGCCACATGTTTTACCAAACCCTAGCCTTATGAACGAGAAAGCTAAAATATCATTCGCCATAGAATGAAGACTCCGCTGAATTTTGCTGCTACTTCACCCGATGCTAGTGCATTTCTGTAGCGGCAAAATGTTGAACTTCCTTTCTTCAATGACCAGTATCGATTACCATGCTTCCACAAGTATAATGACCACAGGAACAAGGAACATAACAAATGCTAGTACATACAAGTCAACACGCCCTGCATAGCGCTCCGTCGGAGAACTAAAGTTGCGTATATTCTCGCACTTATACGAGCGCTCACAGTAATACTTCTTCATTACAACTACACTACCCGCACTTGTTACGTAGAAGCTACAATAAATTCATCGGCGAATCGTAGCAGTCTCGGCTCGACAGATCGTATGTCCCGATCTGCCCAAGCCAGCTCATTTACGGCTGGCGAACCGCATCATGCCAGCGCCAACGTCGAACACAGTCACGAGGCTGTTCATCATGGTGTCACCCAAGATGTAAGGGCCCTCGCCGCCGTCGGTGACACCAAGCAGACAGACAAAGGTGCCGTCACCATTGTCAAGTGGGTCGCTACTCTGGATCAAATCGGCTTTGTCGGCGTAGAATGTGTGCCCGTTGATCACAATACCAAAGTCTGGTACTGTAGCGTCACAGGGAGCATAATATGCGCCAGAAAAGATGTCGTAGAAGGAGTTGGGCACTCCAGCTGCGAATGCATCGGAAATATCTGAACACATGGGTAAGTCGAGTGCTTCATGCTACTTGCTAGGCATTGTTGAAGTGTTTCGATTCTACTTACCAGACGGCACATACATCAAAGTCGTGCCACTGTCAACAATCGTCGGAGTTGTGCTGTTGTAGAACCCGGCAGGCTTAGAAACTGCGGTATTCCATTTACTTGCAGCCAGGGTCTGATTGGACGTAGGGGCCATGGTCACGTTCTTGATAACGTATCCGTCAGGGAGGATAGTGTAGAAAGAGTACTCGGTTTTCGCCTCGGGCCTGTGAGACAAGAGCGCGACCTGGTTTCAAGTTAGCTTCCCGCCTTGAAGTAGAGATTTTCCGCACTGGCGCGTGCATAGTCTTGAATCACTTACCATTCGAATAGGCGTGCTGATAAACTTGCCCTTTGTCTCGACAGGAGGCAATCCGCCAAAAGCCAACTGACCGACCTGAGACTTGCTGTCCATGGCCATGCTAAAGAGATCCGGCTTCACGATGCCCTTCTTGGACATGGTGGTGAAAATGGAGTCATAGTAGATAGACTTGCCGGTCGCATCGTCGTACTCGCTGGTGAGCAAGTCATAGGCGAGGCCGAGCAAGCCACTAGCGACATTGTCGCCGTTCCAATAAGTCTTGTTGACCAAGGCAACTTCTTGGTGCGGCACCTCGAGACCGGCAAGGGTGATGTCCTGGTAGCCCATGAGGCCTGTGGCAAATTCACCGTCACCGTAGGTAATGTTGAAGTGAACACCAGGAATGGAGCCATGCTGGAATGTACCGTTGTACGTGGGCCCGAAGTTGCACAACGAGGTCTGCTCGTCACGTTTGCGGGTTAGCTCTGCCTGAAGCAAACTTTCTCCCTGCTTAGGGTCCTTATTTCGTTACTCACGTCGTTCAACCTATTGCCATCAAAGTCTTGGCAGATGAAGTCCTTCTGAACAGCCCATGTGTCACTTGATCCGGAGTCAACGATTACTTGGAGAGTCTCATCGCCGAAGAGAATGCTGGCTATGTACTCGTAGCCGTTCAAGTCGGTCAAGTTTGTAACGTGACCTGTCTTGAACATGCCATTCGAGCCAGGCCCGTTCCGAATGGACTGAATCCATGTCTGAGCTGGGGAGGAACCAACGACTCTGTTTAGTTCAAGAACGTGAGGGGACACTTCCAAGGGTTGGCTGTCGACGCTGCGTTTCTGCAGAGACGACAGGTCGACTTCGGTGATGTCGAACTGAAGGGGTGAACGGGATGCGGCCGCAGCAGAGCCAATCAGGCTCGCCGCCGATGCGATAGCGACAATGGACTTCATAATGAGCGTAGGGGGTCAGTGATGATGTAGTGAAGTCGATTGTGTCTACAGTCCCTGTAAAAGTTGCCACAGGCCAGTTCTGGTCGACAACCTGCCGGCTAGATGCCATCCTTTTATATTCTTCTACAACGCGCATTCAGTTGCAAAGATTCTTGATCACTGTTCCACCAAATGGTTTATTGATTGTTCCACCACATGGACCCCTCATTTATTGGCCGAACATCCGAACTCTCAATCTTCCGTCATTCGTGTTATTGATAAGACGTGGGAGTGAAGGGGAGTCTCCTGCCCGAAAAGGAAGGAGGGGGTTCTGGAACATGGGTGGTGTCTGGGGTACGATTCAAGCTTTGGCTAAGCTTCGTTGCCGATCTACCGAGCCATATAGCTAGTCTAGACGGCTCTCGAAGACGACAAACGCATACGGCAGTTCAATATCGACGATTAGATATGATAGATCTTTGTGAACTGAAAATACAGTTGGTCCAATGGTCTTTCATCTTCGGACGACCAGCTCAGCTGAAGTTGACTGCTCTTCTGTCGATGAGAAACAGATCGGCAATCCGTTTCGACATTTATGGGCTAGCTTTGGCCGAGGGGATATCGACTCAGTGATCCGCTTTGTCTCCGATGTCACCTTCAGATAGGCGAAAGTACCCTTGTCGATGGTCTTTGGGTGCCGATAGTCTTGACGGTTCATTTCGATGAGATTATCAACATTCTTGCAGAGGCATGCTTGAAAAGTAAGAAGTGAAGGACGACCTGGAAGCTTAATCAATGATCGTCAGCGACCATCCTGGATTGAGAGACGTCTGGAATAAGTGTCTTATATTATATCCAGATTGATGATCTTGTCATACACAGAGATGTCAGAGTTGTTGAGGCCCAGCTGGCAGACGGTGCATCCTCAAAGGCGAGTGATGTGTCATGACTGGATGCAAACGTAGCGGCTGATAAGATAGAGAAGCTGCGGCCCTTTCTTTTTATAATGGCAGAGGGACTTTTCATAGCTAATACAGCTTCATACCTATGACCCTACTTTCAAACTCACTTGAACGCATACTTCCCCAGAGTCTAAGTCTCAGAAGGATGTTTTCAATGCTCCTCCGATACTTTGGTAGATTCCTTGCTTCATGCGCTTCAATGGCTCGTCGCGACATCCAAGGGGCCCAATCATTGACTTCGCCATGCACACAATGACCTCTGCACTCGATCAACATTCACTGGAGGGGTTAGAGACAAAGCTATCGTGTGCGGCCATCCCGACAATGTCTGCTTGAGTACCGACGATTGTGATTCGCCCCGCCAAGACGAGTAATGAGATTCTGTTTCGACTTGTCGTTGATTTCGGCGATATTTTCCAGTGGGAACCTTCTCAGAAGCAATTGAAGGTAACGACGCGAGCCACATCTGTGAGACCAGCATAACCCATGCAAGAAGTAGGATAGATGGGTACAGAACCCACGGTTGAAGCCGAACAAACATACTTCGTCATTGTTGGACATGATATCCTTCCAACAGTATTATCTCTATCAAGCGCCCTTACTGATTTTCAAGCTTACTGATGTGCAACGATTCATGGTAAATACCTCTTCAGCCTGCTTTTTGCTCCTTTTCTCTATGACGCTGTCATGCTAATTGTTAAAGGCTCCCCTATAGGCGCCGATACTTTGGAAACTTTCTAGTATCTGATGATGATGAGCGTCCTCTATAAGCCAAGCAAACATATCAGCGGCCACGGTACCTGTGCAGGTCTATTACCGCCCTCATCCGCAACTATCTCCCTCCTGGTCAAGGCGAAGAAGCGGAAGACGTCGATATTATTTCCACTGCCATGGCCTCATGGATATTGCGCAGTGAGTAATCATTGCTGCTCAAGGATAGTGTTGAACCAAACTAGGGAGTACTCACCTTCCCTTCCGTCTTCACTGTACCAAATCTCATCGGCACATCCCATAATCCTCTTTAAATTGGTTGGTTTGACCATGTTCCTGCTTGTCTCTGGCGAAGTCTTGCACCCTCACAGCACAAGCCTAACTTTGCCAGACGGGAAATTCGCTCCGTCGACCTCTCGTCTGTACGCGGAGTAGCTATGCGACTTTATCGATAGAAGACAAACCGCCAGCTTTTTTCCCGGAGGCGTATATGCACGTAAGTCTCGCTAATAAGTTCCTTCTTTCATCATTCTTCGGCCTGTCGATGAAATATGGTGTGCACCTTGCAGGCCGTACGCTGCAAGCTCACAATACCTTGATAAGACAAGGTTTGTACAGATGGAGAGTGCCTGAGATTTCGAGTATTTGAGGAGATAACACAAAAGCCCATATCTGCTGCGCGTCTACCCACGTGAAATTCAAGAGGAAGCATATCATAAGTTGCTTTTCATTCAAAATTCTTGGAACTGCTTAAAGGTCATAAACATATGTACTGCTAAATAGCCTACGAGGTCCTCCTCTTTATTCATCCAGTACCGGGTATCGTTGCTTTTACAACGCTCCCTCCTTGAGGAGATATGCCGCACTTCCACTGCCTGGCCGGCTCACAACAACAGCACCCTCCTTTTGCTCCTCAGTAAGCTCGCGCTTCGAGTAGTATTCCCTCTCCCACGCCTCCTTGACAGCAGCAACCTTGTCAGCAGGCACCATATGGACTGTGCAGCCACCCCAGCCAGCACCGGTAAGTCTGCTACCATACGAGCCGTTCTCGCGTGCAATGCGGCAAAGCTCGTCAATTTCGGGCGCGCTGCACTCGTACAAGTCGCGGCAAGAGTCTTGTGTGGCGTTGAGCAGGTCGCCGAGGCGCTTGTTGTAGGCTGTGGTGTCAGAGGTATCCTTGGGCGCCTCTTGCTCCAGCACCTTCATGAACTGAAGCACGCGGAGAGCTTCCTCGAAGACGTGCAGGGCGCGCTGGCGGAGCTTGAAGCGCTCGGCGCGAACGGAGAGCTTGGACATGAAGATCTGCTCGAGCTCGGGAACAGAAACGCCCAAGACCTTGGCGATCTCCTCGCGGGTGTAGCCCTCGGTACTGTCGAGAGCCTTCTTGGTGACGTCGATGAGCACACGGAGCTGGGCTTCTGCGGCCTCCTCTGCCGATGCGCCCTCGGCGTGCGGGAGCTTCTTGTTAGCGAAGTAGGCCTCGTGGAAGCCGTGGAGAGAGATGCCGAGCGGAGAGGCGTCGGTGGGGAGCTTTGTGCCGGCGGGGTTGAGGGCTGCGTTGAGAAAAGCACCTGCCATGCTGCACTCGACGACACGGAGGTTGTAGTGGATGGGACCGGTGACCTGCTTGTTGGAGGTGACAAAGGACTGGGCGATGAGGAAGGAGAGTTCCGGGTTGGTCGTCGGGAAGAAGACGGGGCGAGCGGTCAGAGAGGGGCTGAATGAGACGAAGAGAGCAGAGCCGCGCTGGGAGAAGACTGAGGCAGACTGGTCCATGCTAAGTGGGTTGTTAGATCTGAGAAGAGGTAGTCAAGGAGTTTAAAGGGAAGGCTCACCCGCCAGAGTTGACACCAACGGCACGCTCACTGACAATGGCAAGCTCGGTGAGCTCGGTCTTGTCAACAGTCTTCTCGCCGTTGGCGAGCATCACAGCCAATGCCGAGGCACTAACGAAAGCAGCACTGGAGCTGAGACCACCGCCAACAGGGACGTTGCCGTCCATGAGGATCTTCATACCCTTTGGTCTGAAGTCCTTGCCATGCTTCCGACGCAGCAGTTCCAGAGCGCCACTCAGGCCGCTCTTGAAGTAGTTGGACCACTCGTGGACCTTGGAGTCGATTGGAACGTCGGCGCCGATGGGGACTTCAAAGGTGCGAGAGGGGTACTTGTCGGACTGGGCGTTTGCGACGCGGAGGGTGAAGGTCTCGGAGTCAGCGGGCGTGTCGGTGACGGAGAAGGCGAGGATGGCGTCGGCGGTGATGGCCATGGGAAGGACGGAGTAGAGGGAGTAGTCGATGTGCTCGCCGATGATGTTCACGCGGCCCGGGGAACGGGCGACGACGGAGGCTGCGTGGCCGTACTCGGACTCGAACTGCGAGAGGAGAGATGACCAGCGCTTGGTCTGGATAGGGAGGGCATCATCTGTGTAGATGTCGGCGAGTGCGCTCGCGGTGGGAACGGGGCCGGCCATGGTGGGCGAACGTGAGTTTGGTTCGAGGTCGAATGCGGAATGGGTATCTTTAATGCTGAAGAGACGGCTTTGAACAAGGAAAACCGAACTGCCAGAAGGGAAGAAGAGGAGAAGAGTAGAAGAGTAGAAGAGTAGAAGAGAGAAGGAAGAGTGTGATGGTGATGACTTGTGACGTTTTGGGGGCGGGTTTGTATTTGGATGGTGGGGGTGGGTGGGACGAGGCCGGTGGTTTGACGATGCGCCGTAATAACCCCGCGATGGAGCTTTGGTGTTTTTGCGGGTGCTCTCTCAACTTTGCTGCGCTGGAAGTGGTGCGCGTGTGCTGCCTCAAGCTGCTACCCCGCAATTGCCCCTCGTTTGGCGATCTCTGTCTGAAGAATACTGGATGAGCGTCGCCTCGAATGTCTCACCAATAGTAAAATTAAAAGAGCTCAGCTTGGAGTTTGGCAATCTGGAATTGAGTTCGATCTTCGGTCAGCACTGGACAAGGAGCAAATACAACGGTAGTCCCTCGAGTATACATGGCCTTAAAGACTCATGCAATGCAGCAGCTTCATAGAGCTTCAGACGCAGTGCTACTCTTCGGGACATTGACACCCCACCTCGGTCGATAATTCCACCGTCATGCAAAATCTCCAACAATTTCTATCTCATTTTCTCTTTAACAAGCCTGACAAGCGCCAGGGTAGCGTGATCCTCTAGACTGCATAAAGCAGCTCACCTTTCCGAACCATACCAGTCCAAGTTCGACCAGAAAGGTCGCCCGGCCCAGCAACCGAGAAAGACAAGGTGCGCTGATTTCGGCCTTCTGGGTTGTCCGGGGTCTCCAGCTTGAACTGGACAACGGCCCCGTTCCATTGCGGGCCGACAATCGGAAAACCGGCGGAGAACTCGAAAGCTGCCTCGGTTGCGATACAAAGCTAGCGCTAGCTTGCGCATCAAGCTTTTTGGACATTCTCCTTACTGTGTAGTTCAGGTCAAGTGCAAAGGTGGGATTCTTGGAAATCGGTATGAGACAGCCCTTCTTTCGAAGTTTCATAGCACGAGATACAATTTGACGCCACCGATACTAGAATGCATGATTTCTCAACCAGCGAACGACAGCCAAGCCGTACCAGTGGAGTGACTGCACGCCATCACCGGCCTGGCGCATCGCCTGACTGGGTTCCAGGATCCTGCGCCATGCGGTGCGCGGGGATGTCGGGGGCGAGAGACTTTCATTTTTTTTTCTCCCTCTAGCGGGGATCTCGCGTTGTTGGTAACCTGAATTGTATTAACGTCTTCTCGCATTGCGCAAAATGTATTGCAACTTCAAATCGCAAAGCAATCTCGAATTGAACCTTCAGACATCATGTTACCTTGGATTGAGGCAAAAAAAAACGACGCCGACAAGCCAGAAAAGGAAACAAGAGAGAGAAAGGGAGGACCGGAAGAAAGAGGGAGACTCGAAAGAAAAAGGAGGAGAGCCCTAGCCTAAGAGAACTTAGGACCCTCTGACTGACGCTTCATCACAGGCGCTTCTAGCCTCTCAGGTTTCGTGGTGTAGTTGGTTATCACGTCAGTCTAACACACTGAAGGTCTCCGGTTCAAGTCCGGGCGAAATCATTTTTGCAGTTTTAGGCAGTCTCTGAATTGCAAGATCATATTTTTACCTCCTAATATTGACCTATATACTACATATTGGTCCCGGATCAATATTTGACTTTGCCGCGACCTCTCCGCTGAGGTGGACTTGTGTTTGTTACAGATAGACCACTCGGTGGTAAGGTAGCTCTAATGATGACAGCAAGTTTGACCAGCAAGTGTTCAAAAGACTCTTAAGCCGATGGCAATAGTTATGGTGCCCTGGTAAACTTTGCCTCAGACTATCATGGTTCCGCGGGCTTGCAATCTTTTCAAATACTCAAAGGCAGCGACTCGTTCCCTAGATCATCTGCACCACCAATATCATTACGCAGTTTCCTAAGCTCTCTCGTCCCACCCTTGCAAGCTGAACCATGACCGAGAAACAAACAAACGAGGCACTAACCGGTATCTACCAGGTGAAGGTCTGCACAATGCTGAGCTCACCAAGTGTCTACACATGGACCTTGAGGTCTACAATTCTGGACATTGTCTTCTCAACATTTGACCCATACCAGTTTAGTTGTTGCCATAATATGTTGTGAGCCTATAGTTGCTTTGCAGAATATCACTTCATTTCCCCTACAGATAACTGCGTTTGAGACGTCATTCAGACAAGAGCTAGCCACAACCTCATGGTAATGAATGAAGTATCCAACTTCCTGGACCTTGCGAGAACGTTACCCTGGTTTCTTCAAGTCGAGAACCGGCCGGTAACAGCCTTGGCCGTCGGCTTCTTCTCAAACGCACTCCAGTCGTACCGCCTCAGAGACTCCTCAACGCTAATAAGTTCCTTCTTGTCCTCGTCAGTCAAGAGATCCATTCCCTCCAGGATGGTGACTCCTTCCCACGTCGGAGGGTAGTGATCCTGCATCCATTGGAAGAACTGCCACTGCGAAAGCTGTTCTTGAGCCATGGCGCCCCACAGCTCAACATAGCTTTGGGGAGAAACCTGCACGGCGGCGGTCGAGCCCTCCTCCGGCGCGAGCCCAGTGGCTCGTCCCCAGGCGGCGAGGTAAGACTCCATAGTCATGGTCTCGACGTTGCATCGGACAAAGGATCCTGGAGGAGGGGGGCTCTTCACCAGTCTGCGAACGAAAATGCCTCCATTGGTGACGGGATCTCCAACACATGGGTACGGCGTGTTGGGTGGCACCGGGTACAAGGTAACATACTTCTTGGCGCTCGGCTTCAAGCTGGTCAGTGTATATCTGATTGTGGTCGCGCTCTGCTTCACTTACCACGTAGATTGGCTTGAAGATATCATAGAGCAGTGCGTTGTTCGCAAAGACAGTGAATACGGCGAAGGTGGTCTTGGCCGAAAGATCTGGCATCTCTTGTGTAACATACGTTACGATGCGCCCCTTGCCCTCGAGATGGGGGCAGACAGCTTCTCCGTTTGTGATCTTGCTCGTGTGAGGCCCGGCGCTGAACACAAGTCGTTGAAGAGACTCCGTCTTTGCCGCCGCGCGAGCAATTCTTTTTCCCTGTTCAAACTCCAACTCCACGGACTTCTCATCGCCGAGTTCGAAGAACGTGTCGTAGTAGTCAGTGAATGCGAAGATCGCCGTGGCCCCGTGGAAGGCTCTCTCGAGGCTCTCTTCGTCGTTGAGGTTCGCAGAGACAACTTCGACGCCCTTTGCGGTGAGTGCCTTTGCTTTCTCACTCGAGGTGTTTCGAGTGGTGCCTCTGACTTTCCAGCCTGGTTCGTTGAGGAAGGCGTCGACGACGCCTCCTCCCTGACCACCGGCTGCGCCAATGACTACGATCAGGTTCGACATGATTGCAAGTTGTGGTAGGTGTAGGAGCGAAGATGTAATCTTCAGTTTGAAGTAAGGTAGAGATACTGGTGTTCAAATTCGAACTTCAAGTCTAACGTATTATTCGTGGAACGCCGTTCTCTTTTATAAACAAAGGATGATGTAGTCATATCGACTGTATTAGAAGGATCTACACTTGCTTTAATAAGTCTAGCAGAATACCCACCCGCTGCATACCTACCTACGCCATCCTACTGCGACGGCTGCATATCATTCCGACGGAGTCTTGTCGATATGTCACATGAGTTCTGTCAATGTAGCACGGCATTTGGTCCCATCTGTAGACTGGCGTGCAATGGGTATGCTCTCGCATGATACCCGAGCCTAAGTCATGTCTTTCGGCAGAACTGACTGTACTCATCGGCACTCGGCACTATCTAAGGAGCCGAGACGAGCCGGCAGAAATCCTTCTTACCACCATAATCCTCAACAGCTCCAACAATGCGAACAGTACAGATATCAATATTTTGTAGTCGAAAACCGGATAGAGATGTTTCCCAGAGGTTCTGTATTATGATTGAAGTGAATGTTCTACACGAAGCTACTGGTGTTATCAAAGGGATCGAAATCCATCTCTAAAATATCCATCAACGAAAACATAGCATCCGACACATTTTCAACAGGTGTAAGAGTTGCAGCTACATCTCTATCATCCGGCAAGCGATCTATTCCAGCTTCTGCTAGATCCAAGATATCTGCGTTTTCATCGAAAGTGAGCGGGAACGGGAGTAATTCACGGAGATGTGCGTGAACGCTCCTTGCTACCCATGGCGCGGATGACGATGAAGTATCGTCCTGAAGATTATGATCAGACGTTTGCCTCCGCTCAGCTTGGAGTTGAAGCCCCTGAATTCTCTGGAGCACTGATCGAGCGCCGCCGTACTTCTTGCTCATAACGCGCAGCACGGAACAGATGCTTTCGATGCCATTCTTGCGAATCGTTTCCTTCTCTGATGAGTCCGGCCGATGAAATACCAACACTATTGCGGCCACTGAAGACATGAAGCCGTTGATGCTTAGCAAGTGTGATGAATCCTCTCTGTAGTGGATCTCCTCGTACAACTCGGCAATACAGGTCGCCGCTAGAACTGAGGTATGAGAGGTCCGCCAAAGGGCATGGCGACTCTTGCTGAGCATCTGCACAATTATGATTGCCGTCAAATAGTGAATGTGCAGCTCTGAAGTATAACGGTGATAAGATCTCCGCGTACCGTCTGCATCATAGAGCCGCAACACGTCCGGTAGGCCGCTCTTCCATTCGCAGAGCGACGTGATGACACTTTCGACCTCGGCTTCAACTGGTACGCCTTTTCTGGTGTTCAACTCCGACAACTTGCCAATCACGTTCATGAGTCCGGTGAATTGTAGAGAGACCGTTGTGAGTACCCCTTGTGTTACAAAATCCGAAGCTGCAAGCGGCTGAACATCGCAGTCTGCAAGCTTCAGCGAGCTAGGCCGGCCCCAGCAGGCGACCATAAGCGTCTCACTGTTCTTTGAATTGTCAGTGCATGGAATGAGAACACCAAAAGCTAGGTGCAGGGTAGGAACCGGGAAGCAGATGCTGGTGATGGTAAGAGGAAGGTAATAAGAACGTACTATCAGATGCCAAAATATACGCCGTAAGGACCCGGAGTTATCTTTCTCTCTGTAGCTTGATCGCGTGTGGATTCCCATCTGCACTGCTAGCCGCACAGCCATACCAGTCCAATGCCACGGCCCATGGAGTGTGACAAGATATGGTGAGGCTGGAGCCCAGCACGACAAGAGACAGAGTGTCTGGAGTAGGAATACGTTGTCTTTTTCGAACTCAACATGTATCAAAGTTTCAATCTTCTCATAGAGTGAGTAGCTCAAAGTCATACTATTGGGGTCATGGCGCATGAGACTGCCGACGAGGCACACAGCTTGCTGTAGAAGGATCGACGAGTCTCCCCTCGAGAGGTCTTCCGCATCAACGACTGGAAAGTAAGGAAAGGCGAATTCAAAGAAGGCGTCCGTCAAAGCCTTGCGCAATGATGGCGCTGGCAAGGTGTCAGCTTCAGTGGCCTTGACCAAGACATCTCGCGCTTGCATAATTCGTGGTGGGAGGCCATCGTGAACTGCCATCGGCTCTGTGGCGGAGTCGTACGACAAGACGGATGCGTGGGAGATGAATCCCCCCGGCTGATAGTCCCGTGTGTTCAACTCTGAAGACCGAGCTGGAGTCAATATCCGCGGCTCAACTCTCGTTCTATCAGTGCTAAGAATGGGGGGTGATGGCACGGCCGGCACAGTCGGCGATCTCGGCAGTGTGAGCTGCCTTTGCCGAGCCGTCATCTTGCGGCTCTTTCGAACGCCGTCTCGACGACTGATGCGCAGAATTGTGTCAGAACTTTTGCTGAAAGGGTCATAACGGCACAATAGCGGCTTACATGCACTGAACACCGGCACGGCGACAGTTTGCGCATCCGTGAAGAGGGCTATCTTGTAGGTCACACCTGACCTTTTTGTTCGGTAGTCAGATAATGCTTGTTTCACAGGCGGGGAGCATGTCTGCGAATCGACTTACTTTCCTGGAGTGGCAATCAACGCATACGACATTGGCACGGTCTCGCACTGTTCTGGTATTCATATTGAATGAGTCTCGAGCCGAAGATTGTGAGACTCGGGGGTCTTCCAGCGTCGGTAGAGCTGAAGCTTTCCAGATTGCCATTTGACTGATATCTGCCGAATGACACAGCGTGTGCTGTGGGAACCGATGTGGGAGCCGAAATTACGTCAGGCCCGGCGCCTGTGTCTAGTCAATATGCCCGACGGTTCAACCCAAATCCGATTCCGTTTCCGTTCACGGCTCTTACTACCTAGTAGGTATGTTTTATTGGGTTCTCAGACCTGGAGGAGTTACGATTTGGAGAGCTTCGTCGCTAACTACAAAACCGCATGCAGGTGGAAAGCAATACGACTGAGCGGGCACCACTCCAAGACGCCCAACTCCATGTAAGTAGGTATCTCGAACGACAAGTCATTTGAACAAATCCAGAATTGTATGACTCTTGTGCTGTAGTGATGCATTGTATGTCGGATTTACCTACTGGAAGTGACTGGGCGGCATGCACCCCACACTCACAGTCGTCCACATAGCGAGCAACTTACTAACGGGTACATAATACCGTATAGCTGTAGCCGATTGGCTCATGGACCGGGACCACCAATTGTTCAACACCCTTGTTGCAGGATGGGAAAGAGGCGTACACCTTGAGCACCCCAATGTGTTTTGACCCGTGTTCTTCGACTCGTCTGGATGTCCATAAAACGTAAGGCAGCAACGTTAGCAACATTGAGATTTTGGATGGCAATATTCAATTGTGTAGATTGTTTTGCATCATTCTGGTCTCTTCATCTTTGATCGTCAAGATCCATTGACTTAGTCCCGAGAATGGCGTCACTTCCTGCCTCAGGAGTACTGGTAGAAGCGGAAGAGTTCCGTGACTTTGGCGGCTGGATCTTGGACTCGTAGTTCGACTCGGAGATGGGATCGCCATATCTCCTCGCTCACGGTAATGGAAAGCCAGTCGCGGATGCAACAACTACTATATCAGCGGAAAAGGGCCGTTACAATGTTTGGGTTCGAACCAAGGACTGGGTTCCGGCTCATCATCCTGGTCAATTTACCCTTACTATCAACGGAAATACGCTCGACACAGTCTTCGGCGCCAATGGCAAAGATTGGCATTGGCAGTACGCTGGCACAGTCAATCTCCCATGGGATGGTGTGCGACTGGTGCTGCACGATTTGACGGGATTCTGCGGCTGTTGCGACGCAGTCTTTCTCAGCAAGGAGGACACATCGCCGCCCAATGGAATAGACGGAGAATCGCGTGCCTGGAGGAGACGACTACGTGGTTTACCTCATCAGCCTCATGATGCAGGGTCATTCGATGTTGTTGTCGTCGGAGGAGGCATACCTGGCTGTACAGCCGCATTAGCAGCTGCGCGAATGGGGGATCGTGTTGCCTTATTCAAGACCGTCCTTACCTCGGCGGCAATGCCAGCGTAGAGATCGGGCTCACTCCACGCGGTATGACCAACTCCATCATCCAAGAGCTCTCTCAACGCAACCTCGACGGCGACCTAGTCGCACAGCGGCTGCTTGATGCAGAACCCAACGCGACAGCATTCATGGAATTCACTGTTTACGATGCAACCCTCACCGGTTCACAGGTAACATCGGTGAAGGCCCGACATGCCCGCACTGGAAAGGAGATTTGCCTTTCAGCTCCAGTCTTCATTGACTGCTCTGGCAAAGCCATCCTTGGTATCTGCACTGGCGCAGAGACCCTTTTCGGTCAGGAGTCCAAGGCGATGTATGGCGAAAGTCTTGCGCCTATAGTAGCTGATGAGATGCATCACGGACACACAGTCTTTTTTCGAACTCGGATGGGCGACAAACTTGCCCCTTTTCCATCTGTTCCATGGGCCACTGAGGTCGCCAAAGACTACTCTGATCTTCGGGGTCAGCTCAGTAAGCCCGGTCTTGAGAATGGCCCGGGACCTCTTGTTGTGCCCCCGAATTTTGTACCCGATCCTACCATGGATATGAAGATGAAGGGACCTCTTACCCACTTCTGGGAGTACGGCCAATGGCTCGATCCATATACTAATGGTGAACATATTCGGGACCATCTCTTGCGCGCCATCTACGGGACTTTTCAAAACGTGAAAGAGATAGAGCCCGAGACTTACGCGAATCTTGAATTCGATTGGGTAGCATTTGTTGCTGCTCAGGGAGAGTTCAAGAAGTACAAGGGAGACTAGATTCTTACAGAAACCGATATCCGCGATCACAAAGTTTTCCCCGACGCTGTGGTTCAGAATGCAGGCGCCTTTTGTCTACATTACCCAGGCGACAAAAAGTACGACTTCCGTCTGCAGGCCTGGGAATGGGATGAGCGGGATAAAAAGCCTTACGACATCCCTTTCCGGTGTCTCTATTCGTCTAATATCTCGAACTTAATGATGGCTGGGAAACATATCAGCACCACGCACATTGGGGGATCCAACGCCAAGTTCATGGCCAATGGAGGATGCCACGCTCTGGCAACAGCTGCCGCGGCGCACTTGTGCATTAAGCACCAAACCAATCCTCGCGGCATCTATGAAAACCACCTTCCAGAACTGAAGGCAACTATCATCCGCCAGGGCCAGGGTATCTGGGACAGAAAATCGGACAACAGACTGTAATTGTCGTGGGACTATGTGAAGCCCATCGACGTTTTTCATGAGAATCTGTAAACTTCCATCAGGTATCATTCGGGAGGAACATACTAAAGATAGGAGTGTAGCTTTCCCGCAGGTATTTCACGGTTCCAAATTGTCCGTCTTTATAGAATGTTGAGAAGCCAATTGAGTTTTGAATTCAGAAATGTTGCTTTTCCTCGTAACTGCAGAGCTAGATACGCTTCTTTGCGACAATGCTACAGCTTCTCGTTATGAACTCCATCAACTGCCTCCTTGAAATCCTCCAAGAACAACCACCTGCCCTGTTCGATCCAACCTCGGGCCAAGAAATCATTTGCATATTCCGGGAACTCCCGGACGACGTCCTTCAAATGGTTATCGTGAGCAATTACAACAAGGGTATTTCCGCTTCCATCGGCCTCGATAATCCGGTCTACGGTCTCCTCGGCAGCATCCGGGTTGCCAAACAGCATACCAGGACGATGAACGCCATAGAACGGTTTCGTCGTGTCTTCGTCTTGGAGAATAGGTTTGAACAGCGCGCCGGGGCAGGGAGTCACATTGCCCGAATGAAACGGATGTGGCGATATCGAGTCGGGCAGCGGATTGTATGCGGATGGCCTCATCTCGGCGCTATGGTGACAGGTGTCACCGCCCATGAGGATGAAGCTATCCGGGCCGGTCGTCACCCGCGCAATAGCATTAACATGACCAACGGTATGACCTGGCGCGTCTAAGATGTAGAAGCTTCCGTCACCGAAGTAGTCGATGGCAGGAAACGATCCGACTTTGATAGTTGACTCGGCGAAGCTCAGTTCACGGAGTTCGCGGCCGGCGAAATCGGAATCAAGGACTGGGGACCCTGGATTCGTAGGGTAGCCTGGCATGATAATGTCCTTGAAACCCGGGCCGACTATCAGTGAAGTGCTTGTGGGAAATCTGCTCGGATCGCCGATATGATCCCAATGCCAATGGCTCCAGATGATGCTCTCGATTTCACCTGCTTTAACCCCGCCTTCTTCGAGGATCTCTCTCACATCCTTCTCCACGCTGCACGTCGTACCACTCTCTTTGATCCAGTTCTGAATAGGAGGTGAGAGATTTTCGAAGTCTTTGCGCACCCCGAGATCGAAGAGGACTTTGCGGCCAGTGGGTGGGTGTTCGACGAGGAAGACGTATGAAGGACACGAAAGCCAAGAATGGCCTTTGATGACGTGTGAAACCATGCTCTCCATGCTCACCCTAATCTTCGATGTCGAGTCGATGACCCTGACATTGACGGTCGAAGCAGATGGCGGTACGCGAAAGTTTGATAAAGGCATGGTGGCGTATTTCCGGTCCAATGGACGATTTGGATATCCTGCGGTCAAGGAAGCCAAAAGGTTTTCGTTGTTTCTTATTGATCTTTTTCCTCAGTGATTATATCGTCCAGGAGCACCCAAAGCAAGAGTTAGAGAAATCGGCACTCGGTACTCGGCACACGGTGGTCTTGTCGGCACTAAAGAGCCTGCATTTTCAAACGCCCCAAAGTAGTATCACTTCGTTAGCATGACTGTGGGGATATAAACGGCATGTGGAACATCGACTCTAATCTCAAATGAGTTACAGTCGGAAATGTTGCTCCATAATACAATGTCTATTCGTACAGCTTTAGTAACGGGATCCGCTAATGGCATCGGCCGAGCCATAGCACTGCGCCTGGCGCAAGATGGTTTCCAAATAGCCATCAACGATCTTGCCAGTCAAGAAGTCAAGTTGAGAGAGCTACAGTATGAGCTTGAACTGAAAGGTCAGCTCATGGATATGAGCTTCTCACAAATTCCACCCACGTTAGCTGACAATGTGGAGGTGTGCGGACTGCTGTTCTTACTGCAGACATCAGCAACGAAGACGATGTCGCGAATTTGATTCGAAACACATCAGATATGCTTGGAGGGACTGATGTAAGTATGAATCAATACGCCGATGTCAAAGTCGCAGCTAAACAGGGTGGGTCCAAAGGTGATGGTCGCAAACGCTGGTGTGATTCTCGTCAAACCGATCCTCGAAATCAGTGCTAGTGAATGGGATAAAGTACAGGCTGTAAGTTTCCATCCCGAGACTCCTGTATTTCACGTGTTGATATGACATAGATCAATGTTCGGGGAGTCTTTCTGTGCTATAAATATGCAGCTCAGGAGATGATCAAGCAGGGTCGAGGCGGGAAGTTGATCGGAGCTTGTTTTATCTCAGGATACCGACCAGTATGTCACATCAAAACTCTAGTAACGTACAGAAAGGAATTTGACGAATCTGTAGTCTCAATTCGCGCCAGCATACTCCGTCAGTAAATGGGCCGTTCGGGGGCTCACCCAAGCTGTTGCTATGGACATGGCACAGCACGGCATTACGGTCAACGCATACTGTCCCGGCATGGTCCGCACTGATATGTGGGAGACCATTGACACTAGCCTTACAACCAGGATGGGACTTCCCAAAGGTGCTGCGTTTGAGAACGGTGTTGCGACCCGCATTGCGTCTAAGAAACCTCAGGTATGTCTTGGCCCGTGACAGTTACGCCTCATGATAGCTGATCAAGGCGAGATGCAGACTCCTGAAGACGTCGCTGGTTTGGTAAGTTTTCTGGCAGGAGAAGACTCGGATCAGATCACTGGGCAGAGTTTGATCGTAGACGGCGGTGTGGTATTTTCTTAGAGAACATTTTCTTCAGTGGGGTACAGTTGGTACGCTTCCAAAGCGGACAGTTGGGCAAAGGAGACACCGGGATTTAAGGAAGTAGCAGGCGCTAGTATGACAGCGTTTGACGTGATTCACGGTCACTTGGACTTATCGCCACTCTCACCTTTTGCCCTGTCTTATTGAGAGTTGATCAACAATGTGCTATTATATTCAGTCTACTACGTGCAGTTCAATGCCTGTTGGTTCAAGGTAGGTGACTACTTACTGTGGTATGCAACAAAAGTCGGTTCTAGTATAGCCACCTTAGTCCTTACCTCCGTGCGCTGACCGGACGAGCACAGTATCTCGCCGTCGCTAAAAGTAGTAAAAGTCCGAGGTGGGGATCCTGGCCTGAGTGAGACTTCGGGGTCTGCCTCAATCAGAAATGTCCGGACTACAAAAAGAAAAGTTGAGCGAAGCAGTCAATATGTGGAAGGACGGGTAGTTGGCTTTTGCGAGCTTAGAGATCATTTCACAACGAGGTTCAAGGGAATTTTGACATGAAGTCTCAAATAGCTGGCCTGGTAAGCTGATTGCGTAGCTCCCATGTCAGTAAACTTTTTCCCTAATCAAAGTGCTCTCACGTAGGCGTTGGTCGCCGTGGTTCTGTACAAAGTTGCAACATGGTGGTTCCATCCTTTACGAAAGTTTCCAGGCCCTAAATCGGCGTCACTTAGCAATGCAAGTTCTAGCACTCCCTCTTATTGCGCTGTGCCGCGTGCAAGTGCTCACACCATTCTATGTAGGCTTTGTATTCGTGGAACTTCATGAGTGGCCGTCAGCCGTATCGTCAACTTGAGCTACACGAAAAGTACGGTGAGTTGCATGACGCATGTGCAGGCACCTACTCTGGGAGTGCTCGCTCTGACTCTTTTATCGTACCAGGCCCCGTCGTTCGCGTGGCACCAAACGAATTAAGCTTCAGTTCGGCATCGTCATGGCAGGATATCTATGGTGTACGCAAGGGTGTTGATCCTTTCATCAAAAGTGAATTCTATGATGGTGGCAACTTCGCCGCCGAGGCCTTGTCTATCGTTAGCGAGCGTGATCCCAAGAAGCACGCAGAGATGCGTAGATATCTTGGTACCGCATTTTCCGACAGGTCTCTCAAGTCACAAGAACCGATGGTCGCCGAATGTGTCGACCGCCTTATTGAGAAGATTGGGATGGTAGATGTGGGGAGTCAAGGAACCGACATGGTCATGTGGTTCAACCTCGCCACCTTCGATATCATCGGAAGCCTGGCTTTTGGCAAGGACTTTGGCGGCGTTGACTCGGGCAAGGAGCACTTCTGGGTTTCGATCGTCACCAAAAGCTTGCGTATGGGGGCTCTCGCCGACTGCTTTCGCAGATTTCCAGCCCTCGCCGGCATTGCCCAGACAGTGTTTTCTGGTCTCATTGACAAGCTTCTCAAAGACAGTCGCACGCATCAAAAGTACACCATGGATTTGGTTCAAAGGTTTGACTGCAAACATCCCATGGGCAAACGCCGTCTTTTTGTGTTGCAATGCTGAGGCTCATTTTCTGATAGTCGCTTGGCCTCATACTCGGATCGAGAAGATTTCCTCACAAAAATGATTGAAGCCCGTAATGAGGCGGCAATATCGGACGCCCAGATTGCAGCACATTCTTCCGACTTTGTGTAAGTCGCCCAAGTTATTCCTCATGAAACGGACTCATAATCCTTTTCCAGCATTGCCGGCAGCGAGACGACAGCCACTACTCTTTCTTGCATGACGTACTACCTGCTCAAGAACCCGGCGATTTTGGCGTGCTTACAGGATGAGGTGCGGTCAGCTTTTGTTAGTTACGAGGATATTACTGCGGCGACGGCGACTCCATTGAAGTATCTCAGAGCCGTGGCGCAGGAGGCTATGCGCGTCTATCCTCCGCTTCCTTTTGCGCTTCCCCGTGTGGTACCCAATGGCGGCTGCACGGTTGATGGTCATTTCTTGCCAGGCGGGGTGCGTACTTACATTTCCTTGCCTTGAGAACTCTTAGCTTACATGGATTCATCTCAAGACCACAGTCTCGACCAGTACCTTTGCGGCAAGTATGTCATCTTCGAATTTCGATGAGCCGTGGGAATTCCGACCAGAGCGGTGGCTCGTGGAAAACCCAACGGATGACCTCGATGCAAGTCAGCCCTTTTCATATGGAACGCGATCATGCATGGGACGAAGGTGAGATTACCAACAATGACATGGTGGTTTAGGCACGTACTAATCATCAAACGTTGCAGCCTTGGCTGGATGGAAATTCACACAACCATGGCGAAGCTGGTCTATCGGTACGACTTGGAGCTCGCTGATGAGAGTCTCGACTGGCACCGGGATTCAAGGATGCATACGTTGTGGGAGAAGCCTCGTCTGATGGTGAGGCTCAAGCCCCGTGTGTTTCAATAGCAAGATTGCAGCCAGAAATCAGGCTTTGAGAGGAAGCTTCTACATTCTCACACTGTTTGCTTGTGTTCATGGTGCTTAAAGGTCTTCGCGAACTACCAGTCCAAGAGCAAGGTTTTTGACGCCGGCCACGGTTTGCTAGGCGGGTACTGTATTTCTCCAAAGATGGTTGATCGATGGTGATACGAAATAAATTTGAAACTTGAATGTGCATGAAACTGAAATATTGGTCCTGATTTTTCTTCTCAGTCTCGCACCTCTTATAGCCTCTTATGGACCTCTCGAGGCTGGTGCGCATCGGCTGCGAAGGCGCTCGTTGGCTTCCGTCAAGATGTTCTATGCGTAAAACGGACCATGAGTGCGGGTTTCCACCACATCACATGCAGTTGGCTTTCCTGTTCCCAATCCAAATCTTTGTCAACCAGCTCTAAGTCGTACTGCCATAACACCTTGGCCAAGATGAGATTGATTTCCATGTATGCGAAGCTTAATAGTCGTATTAGCATAAGATAGCTTATAAACTAGGGTGCGTTCACAAAGCGTTCAGGGCTGTGACTCACTTTTGTCCCAAGCATCCCCGAGGGCCCATGGAGAATGGCTGGCTAGCCTCGCGGACATCTGTGGATTCCGCGTCTAGCCAGCGTTCAGGCTTGAAGCTTTTCGGGTCAGAAAAATACTCTTCGCTGTGCGTCAGGGTCCACGCGTGCGTGAAGACCTCAGCCTATAGGCACTCTCATCAGACTCTATGCTTTTGATTGTGCTTCGAGTTGACTTACACCCGCTGGGACGTAGATATCGCCGACATTCATGCCTGGCGATAATCGCGGAAACCCCTGAGAGCCCGGTGCATACAGCCTAAGGCCCTCGCTGATGACGGCTTGCAAGTATGGGAGCTGGCGAGCTGCAGTGGCATTGATCTCTTCGAATGAGGAGAATTTTGTCGTTATTTCTGCTTGAAGCTTCAGTAGACACGCTGGATTCCGGAGCAGATAGTATGTTGCCGCGGCAAGGAATGTCGCAGTCGTCTCGCCACCCGCAATTCTATGAGTATAATGTTAGCAAAACCTCGAGCATTCCCAAATGACCTTGAACTGAGGGGACGCACGTCAAAGTTGACACATGGGCTGTCATCTCTTCTTTGCTGATAGCTCCCACTTCGTAGCTCTTGACAACGGTAGACAGGAAGTCATTGCGGTTTGACTTTTTGGATAGACGCCTGCGGTTCCAGGGTTAACAATCAACCATGAGCTCCATGCAACCAAGCTTAAGGTGAGTATTTTACGTACTCTTCGACCTTTTTCCGGCTATACTGGGAGTTCTGGTTTTGGACAGCAAGAGTTGACGGGAATAGCACGCGGGCTACTCTAGCCACAAAAGGGAGACGACGGAGGTTGTCAACAAGTGTGATGAAGTATAGATGGCTGACTATGATCTCCGACCAACTGTGTGGCTTTCCTATAATGCGAAGTGATTAATATTACGATGTTTCGCTTGGTCATCTCTCAGCCAAAGATTAAGGCTTGAAACTCCCAACTTCTCGCTACTTACCAGCTTTGACGCTATGAAAGGATTCTCCGAACGCCATTTCGCCCAAGGAATCAAAGGCTATCATCTCATACCACTTGGTCATATTGAGACCCTCAGTCCGGAAACGATCTTCCCCAAGCTGATGAACGAAAGCGTCGACTGTCTTGGTAATGATATCTTCCTGGTCCAGCAACATCTTTGTGGAAAAGGCAGCAGAGAGCATTTTGCGCATTTGACCGTGCTTGTGAGTATCACGTTCACTACCGATGCATAATGATTTGAAGCCTGCGCCGTAGATATCGTAAAACTCGCTTTTGATCACTGGTGCTGTGCCTGCAGCGCGGTGGCCGTAGATTGCCTTCCACGACTCCACTGAAGCAAAGGAGAGCTCATTGGGAGAAACTCGGACAACGGGCCCTATGGACGTTCAGTTCAGTGAGTATTCTTCATGGCCTAGGGGAAAGGAAAGCCCTACCATGTTTGCGATGCTGCTCTTGAATGGCGTAGTGAAAGCGGCCAGTCTGAGAGTGATAGATTCGCCAGATCTATGACGAGAAGCTTAAGCATTGCAAGTCCAACAATATACAGCCTAGACGTACTCACCAGACTACATCTTCCTAATAGTGGTCCTGGGAACGTGGCAAGCTTATGGAAATACGCGTTGTAAATGCTGGCTGTCAAGAGGTACAAGACGATCTGAGTACGTTAGTCTTGAGTTCCAATAACGCTTTGTGCCATCCAGAGTAGTTCTTACAAGATACAGTAATAGAGCGGCAGCGCTTGAGACGGTTAGCTGTGCAACTCTTGTTTGAAGAAGGTGCAAGCACTCTTTGTGTGATATGGCTCGATCAAGCATCGCGTCCCCTGGAACATCAACTGATGCTCTTCAGCATTTACCACTATGCTCGATGTGTTTGCTAGCAATTTAGGCTGTGAACACTCGCTCTAAGGATCATAGGCCTTGCTATACTTTTCCTGGTGACCTAGCAAAGGTCTGCGTTGTAGCTTTGACGGACTCGAAAGACATATTGGGAGGGCAGCATAGCACTTCGTCTCATCGGCCAGTTTCCGTTTTAGGAAGTGAGGTTTCCAATCGTCACCGCGCTAAACCTTTCTCGGCAAATCCCGAGAAATGCACGGAACAGCAACGCTCCTTACACCAGGAATAAGTAAAGCACCGAGAATGACCATTAATATAAAGGAGATCAACCATTCAACAGCTCTTGACGGCGGCAAAGATTCCGCCATTTTCGACTGAGTGCGGCTGACTTTGAGTCTCATCGGCGCGACAATTATGCCGTCAGGTACTCTCAAGTGGGGAATTGTCATGATGTGGCACAGTCAAAGGGACCAGTTTTCACTCTTCGAGACAGAATCGTCAGTTCTCAAAATCAGTCTAATCAAGTCAAATTTCGTAACAATGCGAGGTATACCTGATTTGATGGTCATCAGTGTGGCATCAGCAGAATTGCTTCACTGCTAGACCACAAGTGTGCTCTTTCATATTCCAACGATGCCGCCAACTTTTCGCATTTCGAGGCATTCTTTCACAAAAACAGGTTTATTTTCATCCTTAGATTATTTAAAGAACAGCCAAACTTACGTCGTAGGCACAGCAAACACAGCAGTGGCGGAACTCCGTACGAATGAACCGCGCCTCAACACGAACCTCGTACGCCTCAACGCCCCAGCCATGTGGACGGCCCGTAAAACTATCTATGTTTGGCAGTAAGCTCGTGGTTCACGTCAAGAAGGGCAACATCCAATCTTTTCCATCTCAACAGCGTCCCTCGGCTATGTCGTATGGATGCGGCAATGCACCCGGGCGGTAATACTTGATTGGGGGAGCCGTGCATGAACCCGGCTTGACGACTTCAGATAAGTTTCCTAGGGGACAGTCACGAACGCCACGTTCCTCGCAAGACATCCGCATTGTGGGCAGCTCTCTCTTATGGAGTCACTGCCGCGGACCGTTATTGAAAAGAATTGGCTTTTAGCAAAGCAAAGGCTCATATAAACAGCTTGAGCACTTGTTGTGTGGTTGAAGGTTGACATACTCACATCTCATATTTCTGTCCAGAATTCTACCTCTCCAGTTGCATCTTAGAGAGACTTACTAGCATAAAACAAGTCAAACTACGCATCATGTCACTCAGCGTAACAACCGCACCCGACGAAGTCACCAGCATCTCTCCCATCTCTCACCTCGACAGCAAAGCTCCAGGTATTACCCAGAAAGCCATCCAAGAAACATCTACCTCCAATGATGGGTACCTCCGCTACAACCCCGTCATCGTCATGCTCATCGGCTACCTCGAACAAGTCAGCCCAGGAGGCCTAGACTCCGCAGTCCGCTCCGCCCGCGACAAGAACCCAAGCTTCATGTCAAAACTAGCCATTAAAGACGCACACTCCTTCCTAACCTTCGCAAACGACCTCCTGAAATGGGTGCCCAGCGAGAACTTCGAAGGTAAAGACATCTACGACATCCTCTGCACATTCTACTTCGTCCTAGACCAACCCCCTCTCCGCAAGCTGCAAACTCCTATTCGCCCAGACTCGCAAGGCCTCACCTGGCTATCCTCCTGGATCGTAGTCTACGCCCAACTTGTCGGCCAATTCCTCGACACACCCGCCTCCATCACCCCTTCCTCCCTCCAATCCTTCGCAACGTCACCCCCCTACCGCTTCCACGAGGCAGAAATCCCAAAAGGCGGTTTCCGCACCTTCAACGCCTTCTTCACCCGCCGCCTCAAACCGGGCCTCCGACCCATAGCCTCCCCCGACGACGACAGCGTGATAGTCTACCCGGCAGACTGCACTTACGACAACTCCCTCGCCAACCAGAGCGTCGCCAGGATCTCCCCGCATGGCACCGTCGAGATCAAGAACGTCCGCTGGCCGATCAGCATGCTCCTCCAGGGTAGCGCTCACGCCGCAGACTTTGACGGCGGGATCTGGATGCACGCGTTCCTGAATACCACAAACTACCACCGCCAACACGCGCCCGTGTCGGGCAGAGTGCTCGAGGCGAAGAACATTCAGGGCATGGCGCACCTCGAGGCCGATACTGTCGGCGACGGACAGGTGCGTATGATGGGCGGGGCGGACGCTTCCGAGAACCCGGGGTATCAATTCCTTCAGACGAGGGGGCTGGTTGTCATTAAGAACCCGGTGCTCGGCAAGGTTGCGTTCTTGCCCATCGGGATGGCCATGGTTTCGTCTGTGGACTTGTTTGTCGCAGAGGGGGACGTGGTGAGGAAGGGGGACGAGGTTTCGTGTTTCCGGTTTGGCGGGTCGGACGTCATTTGCATCTTCCAGGAAAAGGCCGGGTTGAGGGTTGAGGATTTCGTGCCGACGAGTGGTGAGTTTTCAAAGTATGGGAGTATCTTGGCTAGAGCGCCGATGGGAGGTCATCGCATGTAATTCAGGCTTTCAGAGGAGTCATCTACCGTCTAGATAAGTACTAGGATCGTTTGCTTCAAGATCTTGCTCTAGGCTGGCACCTAGAGAAGATGTAAGCAAAGCTGCTCAACTTCACGATGCTTGGGACTAGGGGTTTTCCTTTCGAAAAATCACAGCCATGGAATTAGAGACAAAACAAACACAACATGGTCAAAAAGAGAAGTTGCGTCAATCGCTGACGGGAATTGAGCCCGACGTGGCTGGTGCTTGTTAGTGACATGTTTTAGAGAACATTAGAGATGTAGGGAAAGTAGCTTACGGGTCGAACCCACAACCTTGAGATTAAGAGTCTCACGCTCTACCGATTGAGCTAGCCGGGCAACCGGCGTATATACTTGGGTTGTTGAGTTAGTCCGGCCCGGGATGGCTTCATGTTCTGATTTTGCCAATTTGTGATTGTGTGTCTGAGTGGGGAGGAGAGAAGAGAATTCGGGAACCCCCCATTGTGGGTGTAGGGTGGGACACTACAACAAAGCGCGCATCGTGATGTATGTGGGGAGTGGATTTCTTCAGGGTTGGGTTGTGTTCAATATTAGCTTAGATTTGGCGTAGCTTGAGTAAGTGGTTCACTCGAAAGTTGAATGGATCCTGGAGCCGTTTCTAGTGGGGAGGCTCATCTCTCTCTATCTCTTTCATCAGTCGGCAATGTTGTAATAGCGTTCACAAACGGCAGAGTCATGTTAATCAACAATAACACCACGAGTGAGGACATGTTGAAAGAACGCAGATAGTCTCTATTAGCCGCTACGCAGGCACACAAAGGCCTGCGGAGGATGCTCGCTTGGAAGGGAATCGCCCTCCATGCGCTAGCTATCCGGGCAACCCCAAAGAAGGGGTTCGATTACTGAGTTTTGAGAAAAAGGAAGAGTCCCATCCTTCACCGGCTCAATTGTCCCCCTCAAACAACCATGATCAAGGCCAACTCAAGGCTCGGGTTGGCTTACGAGCCTTCCTATCCTAATCCTAGCGAGAAGTGCCTTTGGTGGCCCTGTTGATGCATCCATTCTGCATGGCGCGGAACATGACACGACGGTGAAGTGCATCGGTCGAGGACGCAGAGCCCTCAGATGAGGCAACGGGCCTGGAACTCTCGCTAGACGGACCACTCTAGTGTCCTCTAGCCAAGAAAGCAGGTGCGCCGCTGCCGATGATGGGGCTTCCGATCTCACCTGGTGCACCTACGGGCCTGTGGGCAGGATACGCCATGTCGTTGAACTCGGGCACCCATCGCATCAAGTGCTGCCCTGGGCCGTTTGCATCCAGCTGGACCTCAAAGGTGCCGCCGCCGTTCTGCAGGTTGCCTTCCGTTTCGGCGAGAGCCAACAGATCAACTTCAGGAACAGACTCAGTCCTATTGAGCTGGTCAACTTCTGCCTTGACAGCTGCTAGATCAACGAAGGACTCTGAGCTCTCTGGGTTGCGGGCTTGCAGTTCCTTGCAGGCGCGACACATCATGAGCCGAATCGTCACCGAACGAGGATTTCCAGCCGTACGGATCGGAGGCATAGGCTGCATCATAGTAGGGCTTCCCCAGGTCGAGTTTCCCACTCCGGGGGCCACCGTGTATGACATTGGTGAGGGTCCCCATAAGCTATTGTTGATGCTAGAAAACCCATTGTCGAAAGGCAGTGGAAACGCTGATCGTTGCACCTGGCTACGGTGCCTGGCCGCATTGATTGCCGCGTTCATCGGGTCTGATGCATCATCTACCAGGACGCTGCTACCAAGATGCTGTTGGTTTGTGAAATCCTCTGATGGATCATTTCGGTGTCCATGAACCACACTACCTGGTCGTCCAATGGGTGCTGGCCTGCCGATGGGCTGTGTTGGAATTGGCGATGAAGCAGGGTCGAAGCTGCCGGAATGTTGTCTCGAATGTGATCCGGGTCCTGGCGCCATGTTTTGCATATGGTCGCCCATGGGCTGTGGGAAGCCAGGAGGTGGGCCGGGCATGAAGCCACGTCCAGCTGGCCCATTAAGACCTGGTGGAACGGCCATCATGCCCAGAGGGGGAGGAGGTCTACCAAACCCGGTAATACCAGGCGGACCAAAGATGTTTGGGTCGGGCAGACGATTTCCAAGACCAGGCGGCGGGTTGAAGCCGGGTGGAGGCATGCTCATAGGCATGCCAAAGGGGCCAGGCTGCATCGGGCCTTTCATGCTCGAAGGTGATATGGAATTAGGATGGGGTAGCGAGCTTGTGGTCGCCACGCTAGTCTTCCTTGAACCAATCGGCCCAGGACTCATGTGGCCGGGTGTCGCAGGGTGTGGCGATGGGTTTTGGCTGGCAGTAGAGCCTGTTCGCGAAGCTTGGGATTCAGGCAAGCTGGTGTCCAGGGGCTGAGAGGCATGCTTGGGACGGATTGGTGTCGGAGCTTTGGGAAGAGCCGGTGTTGCAACGGGTATCTTGGGGGACGCATAGGATGCTGGGTTGGATGGATGTGTCGGAATCGGTACTGGGTGTTGCGATAGTCGCCGGCCTGAGGTGGGAATGGGAATAGGAGCAGCAGCAACCGTGGCAGCTTTTTGGGCAGCCTTTTCCTCCTGCTTGATGCGATCCTTGCTTTCCTTCTCAGCCTTGGCCTTGGCCTCCTTGTCGCGCTTGGCCTGTTCCTGCTTCTCTTTGCGCTCACGGAGCTCCTTGTCCTTCTGGTCTCGGATTTCCTTTTCGCGTAGTCGTGCTTCTTCCTTGAGCTTCTGGGTCTTCTCGCGGGATTCGCGCGCTTTGCGTTCTTGCTCCGCACGCTTCTCTTGCTGTTCCTGGAGTCGACGTTGCCGGTCGGTCTCTTTGCGAAGGCGCTCTTCTTCTTCCAATCGCTTCTGCTCTTCCTTCTTTCGCCGTTTCTCCTCCGCTCTCATTCTCTGCTCTTCCACCTTTCGCCGCTGCTCCTCGAGTCGAGCGGCCTCCTCTGCAGCCTTCTCAGCCTCCTTCCGCGCCTTCTCCTCGGCCTGTTGCTGTTTCTTCAGCGCGGCCTTGTCCTTGCGCTTCTGGTTCTCTTTGGCCTTCTTGGCTTTCTTCTGAGCGGTTTGCCTATTTTCCTCCTCAAGTTCCTCGATGAGCTGTTGCTGGCGTTGCTTGGCGACCATGTCTCGATAGGCTGTCAGGACCCGTTGCTCAAACATTCGAGCGGCGAATATTTGGAACATGCGACGACCCTCTTCCATGCGCTGTTCCTCGGTCATCGTGTCCTGATGATGACAACAGTAATGCTCAGTACTCGAGTGTTTATGGTCATATGTGTATTGAGAGGAGCTCACTTCTTCATCCTCGTATTCCTCTTCTTGACTGTCATCATAGTCCTCATCCTCCTCCTCGTCTTCGTCGTCATAGTCGTCTTCGGGAGGAGGATGGTTATGATTCGAGTAAGAGCCGTTGGCGGGATGAGCGTAGCCGCGAGAAAAGTGCTCCTTGGCGTCCTCTTCTCGGGCCATGCGGCGTTCGGCGAGCTGCTCCATCATTTCGATGAAACGCTTGCCGTCGTTTTTGAGGAGGTCATCCGCAACGGTGAGTATGCCGCCTAAGTCCATGTTACCATATCTGCAGAGTAGGGAGTCCAGAAGCTGCATACCCTTGACTTGCAGGCTGTTCCCAAACGTCAAGAAGTCGGCAACGTCTCGATCGTGAGGGTGAGTATCTTCGGGGGGTTCGTCTTCGTCGCTGTACTCGTCGTCTTCTTCGTCTTCCTCTTCTTCCTCCTCCTCCTCGAGGTCCTCGTCCTCGTCGCTGTACTCCTCCTCTGGCTCCTCCTCGTCGTCATCGTCGCCCACATGTTCCACTATACGGCCGCGTGACGGTGGTTGGCCTGTGTAGGATGACGGAATGCGTGAAGGTCGCAAGGGGAATTCGCGGTGAGGGGGCAGAATATGCGGTCCTTCTCCGTTGTTCGCAAAGGTCTCGAGCTCCTCATAGTAAGCGTCGTACAGGCCTTCGAGTTCCTCCTCAATGGCGGTGCGCTTCCTGCCACAAACAGTACAGCTGCAGGTATGCTTTTGCTGCTCCTTCATCTTTTTCAGAACGGCGTCCTTTTCGACCTTGACTAGCGACTTGCGCTCATCTTCGCCGAGACCCAACCAGAACTCCTTGATGCGCTCCCGCTCCTCCTGCGAGCTGGTGTTCCAGATCTTATCCTTGGAGATACCAGGGCCACGGGGCGTCAATGGCGAGTGGGAGTGAGAATGAGGAAACGGAACGCTGTCGTACTGGCTGTTGGCCAGCTGCGGGTTCTTTCCGTTCTTCTTCTTCTTCTTTTTGGACTTTTTGGATTTGGTCGCGGAGAAGCCGTTGGCATGGGGCCGGTCGTCGGTAGAGTGATGGTCTTCGGGCTCGTCGTCGCTGGACTCCTGATCCTCGTCATCTTGGGCAACCTGAGGTTTGGACGCGGGCGCGCCAGGAGCAGGACTCGGGCGACGTCCGTTTGGTGGTTGGACGGCGGCTTGCTCGGCAGCAGCTTTGGCAGCAGCCTTTGCCCGACGCTTCTGCTTCTTTCGATTCACAGTAGGCGCTGAGGGGTCAGCACCGTTGGTATCGAGGGTCTGGACGCTGGGCGCCTTTGCCGACGAGGTCGGGGTAGAGGGTTGCGAGGGTTCGGCGGAGGGGGGGCCTTTCGGGACGGTGATGATCTTGGAGCCATCCTTGTTTGTGTATCTCGCGGTGGACTTTGTGTTCGGTGACGCTGGCGTCTGAGCTGCCGGCTGGCGATGGTTGGCCGGCATTTCTAGTCTCTGCTACGAAGCAAGCGACGTCGATGTCATAGAGAGGGATAGGTGAAGGGTGGTTTGCGGTCGTGGTTGCGGTGGGGGAGTAAGCGCTGGATTCGGGTTCGGCGAGAGGGATAGAGAGTGAGAGAGTTGAAGACAAGCTCGAATTCGGCGGTCGGTCGGGTTCGAGAATGAGGCGATACTGGGAGAGGTAAAGCTATGTGGAAAGATGCGTAAGCAAAGATAAAACCACAGCTGCCCCTCTTCGCAATGACGCTCGAGGTGTTCGGGGAGATTGTGTGTGGTTGAAGTTGGGTGGGCGTTTGTGGGTAGCGGCTCGCGAAAGTGGCAGGCGGGATGTAGCGCGCTGGGCGGGCTTTGGGCGGGCTGAGGGTGGTGGTGATGAGGCAGGACTCACAGGTGGAGGCGAATATTATTCGAGATGGGGCGCCGGGGCAGCCACACTTGTGTCTTGCCAAGGGAACAAACAGTCCGCCGTGAAAGTGCAGCACGGAAGGCCGAAACGGTAAAGGGTATGATTTTTGTTGTTTTTTCGGCCTTGTTTCCTCTATCGATATTCTTTCTCTTTTTTTGCCCTAGAAAACACCACCTTGCAGGTTGATAGTAGTTCAACTTGAAAGGCACACGAATCGCAGTGCAGTCGCAAGGCTGGTGGTGGTGTTGGTGGTGGGCTTGATTGGGGCTGATGAGTGTGTGACAAGCAGAGCGCGGGCCGATGATGAGTGCCCCTGTGTGGTTCGTTGGTCGCTAAGTTCCAAGGTTAGGTACCTTGGATTGGATCTTTAGGTCAGGTAAGGTGAGGTACCTTGGAAAGAGCACTTCGAAATGAGTTAGGTTGGGCAAGAACGACCTCAATATTTTAGTCAAATAAAGAGGCAGAGCTGAACGGATTGAATTACTCGCTGTTCAAGTTCCTTTCCTTTCCATCAATAGGAAAAACAGAACGGCACCCATAAGGTAGGCGACGATACCAATGTCATGAAAGTAAAAGGATGGAAGTAAGGTACCTCTGGATCTCTGATCCAACGGATGTGTGTCGTTGTTCGTTCCGCTATGGGCGGAGGGAGGGAGTGAAGGGAGAGTGGGATTGCCTGTCATGCCCAAGTCACTCGTCAGCAGGTTTGGGTAGCAGAAGTACATCACAGGGAGGGGGGAGTGCCAGGTGGTGAGGGACCTGAGGCAGGGCCCCTACCCAATTGCCTATCACCTGGGGTGTGCACTTTACCGGGCTCACATCAGGAACTTGGAAACCCGGGTCAGTAAGATAGGTAAGGTACCTAAGGAAGGTACCTTTGGTTGTGTCCCATCAATCAGATTTCAAGGCCAAAAGAGGTGAGAGGTTTGTGCCGTCGTCCACGTGACTGCTTGCCCAGCGGGTCCAATTGCTTTTGCGTTTTGTGGAGACCCAACAGAGCTGCTGTGCTGAGTGGCTGACAAAGCTGCAACCTCTATGGCCTTTGCTCGTGATTGAGCTTCTTGCCTGAGGCTCCACTGAACCAGAGACCAGGCTTTGGTGGATTCCCATGTTGAGATCCAAAACCCAGCTGACATAACCAGATCCCGATATTCACCCCGGGACCTGGAGCTTACCTAAGGCCCTGTGTCTGTGCCTGACGGAATGAGAACCCGGAAAGTTATTCGATGTCGAGGTCCCTAGCCAGGTCCGTCCCGCGATTCAAGGTCCAAACACCAAACACCAAACACCGCGATGCCCTGTCACCTAAGAATCGGTTCAGGATCTGATGTCATCTCAACACCTACAGCCTCCGTGTAGCTCGCTATATGGGACCATGGCCAGCTTCTCAATTAGCTCTTGTCCCACGCATCCAGAGCACCCGAGAAGCTTGGCCACCGCCATTGACCGCCGAGTGAAGCAGCTCGCCAAAGCGCGGGTCGTGCCATCAACAACATACATCATCTTAGAAGATGACAGTCCTTCTTTCAAATCTGCCAAAAGCGAATCGTCCAGGTGTTTTCCAGCTGAGTCTTATATACAAACAAGCACTAGCCAGCTGCCTCGCCCTCAGCAAACTTTGGCAGCTCCCTGCGATTCCCAAACTGCCCCGTCGTCAAACAAGTTAGTCGACTGTTTGGCATCATTCGTTGTCACAGGCTCCGTGGCACAAGCTGCTGGCAGCGCAGCTGTTCCACCTATACTCTCACAAACTCCCTCGTACAACATTTCATACCCCCAATTCGTCAACACGATTGGCCTTCCTTCCCATGGACAGTCAAACTCTAGGCACGCCAAGAAGGGGGGACACGCAAACCAATTCAACTTTGACGGATCGAGAATCAACACTGCCACTAATAAAAGGGCGGTGGTTGGCATCTATGACTGTCAAGTGTCAACAGACTCTGACCCTGCCCATATAACTATTGGATAAGCTTAGTTGTGACCGGGACAGCCGGCGGTAGTTGAGGTCAAGTGCCTCGAGCGATAGCGGCGCTCGGAGGTTGAGGAAGAGAACATCCCACCCGTTCCGAACCATCCCGCATTTTCAGCCTCTAACCTCCGGAACCGCGCGGCCACCGACAGTTGCGGAGACGGCCTTGGGAGATTTCAGTCCCGGCGGGTATGCCATACTTTGAGGCTACGGTTACCGGGGACTGCTATGCTTTCTGACCGATTCGCTCTCGTCCCCTCTTCTCTCGGCAATGGCCTCGATCATGATATCATCAAGATATATCGGGGACGATGAACGTCGGCCAAAGCGTACAGTTACGGAACAGCTGGACGTTGTGGATTCCCGCTCGCCGATCAGGTTCGGCAACGTGCACGCATCAGACAGGTGTGACCGGCAGATCCTGGACGGGAGCGCATCCTAATTTTGCGGGCAGCGATGCAGTGGAACACCATTTTCCGGACCTCACGCGAATAATTAGCTAGGAACGTTCTGCCTCAGAGGGAAACCCGTATGATGCATTCCGTCGCCGTGCGACTAGCAGCCTTGGGGGTCGTTAATGACCCGACCAGAGTTCCTCGCAAACGTCCAGTTGCGTAGTATCATTGGCTGCAGGTGACGACTCTGAACGAGAGAACACCAGGAACGCTCGAATGCCAACACAGCCTCAATCAGCCATGCCATGGTATCCATAAGGCGGGCCAGGCGGGGTATCCACCGCGGAAGCTGGGTCCACAATGCTGTTTGTATGGATGTTTATGGAATACATGTTGGCTGAGAAGCGACGAAACGAGAGCGAGATGATGGGAAGGGGCATTTCTCTCCGCCCATGCTGTCAACAGTCTCCCGGACTCCGATGACGAAACGAGCTTGTTGACCCCGAGGTGGACACAAGCTCATCGGTACTTCGGTGTTCTACAAGTAAGAATTCTCGCCAAGCAGTGACTGCGCAGCAAGCTGTGTTGGGGCCAGGCCATGAAGAGAGAACCCAGCTCGTTGGCGAAGCTACGTCAAATTTCAAAGATGCCAAAGTGCGTACCAAGTCTTTTGCTTGGTTGAGCTTGATACCAATTACCTCGCGCCAGCAACTCTTCAACGCCGACGCTATTCGGATGGGCTTGCCTAGCGAGTAAGCAAAGTTCCCCGTTCTTTTACGACGCTCTCGATGTGGCGTGCCGGGCACTTGCAGATTGGCCGCGAGTTGTTTAGGAAGCCGGGTGCCATAAGACGGCACGGCTTGGCAACACAGCCTATGGCGATGAGTTGCACAGAGACACACACACACGCAGCACAGCGGGACGGTTGGGATGTGTGGGATGGCCGCCGCACAGCAAAGAAGAAGCAGAAACATGGCACGCGTGTCTTTTGTTACTGGCCGAGAAGGGTCTTGTCCCTCAAGCCCTTTCTTCCCAACCGGCACTCCAGGGACTACCTACCCAAGCAAATGGGCTGCAGGCTGGTAGGTGCCTTAATAAGTTCAGGGCTGGCGGATGACGGATTGGGGAGCGCGGGATGGGATGGGATGGGATGGGGAATTGTGATTCGGAAAACAAGTGCCCGGTGGCGGTTCAATACCCATGACTGGGGAATGGAAGAGGACGAGACATACGGCTGGCCGGCGCGAGTCGGTGCCGTTACGGCCATCCGATATTTGAATGCTCTGATGCTTTAACGTCCTCTTCCCTTCCCCGTCTCTTCTTGACTTCTCAAACGTGGAGGTACGTACGACATGATGTAAGTAGCTGACGATGACTTTGATGACAGATTCTCAACTCAATTCCTAGCCAGGAGGTGCTCACGTACTGCGTAAATGGGCAACGTCAGATTTCCACTAGGAAACCTAGAACGCTACAAGTCAAGATTCGTTCCAAGTCGGCGATCGACGTGTGAAGAAATCTTGGCAACGATTTGTGCTGTTTCCCCTTCTCTTTCAAGGTACGGTCTTTTGCGTCCAGGAACTTGGGATGTCCAGGACAAGGGGCGGACGATTGGGGGGGAAACAGATCGGGAGTACCTTATTTTAGAAAACTGGGCGCACGGCGGCGTAAAGAAAAATGGAGAGGCGCCCGGAGGTCGGGTAGGTTAGCTCAGCCGTCAGCGGTAAAACGTCCGTTCAAAGGGTGTCTTTGGGGACGGAGCCCGTATCTTGGATCGTCATTGCCAAACTGATTTAGCATTTCTCTTTGAAAGGTAGCTACATCATACGTCAAGCGAAAACTAACCATCTCTCTGAGAGAATGCGAGTATTCGTGGTCTCGGTCTCGCCTTGCTGGACTATCACGGCATACTAAGAACCTAGGGCAAGTCGCATAACGATTCTGAAATACTTGTACCGTAGTTACGACATAGCCCTCCCAGGGCCAGGGCCAATCGAGGCCAATTCAGTGTCAACGGAGAGCTCAGGGTAAGGTAGCATCCGTACCTAGTACCTTACGACCTTGGACTAGACAAAGTTCCGCCTGTCTGTCATCGGCGTGGGATCACAGACTGGTTCGTGCGAGAGAGCAAGAGAGAGAGAGAGAGAGAGAGAGAGAGAGTCATTGACAATGACGATTGAACGAGCACCCAGAGGTTTGGACCTGTTGCCTTCTTTCCCCTCCCTAGCCGCGTCAACAGCAAAGCGTTTTACATCTAGCAATCTAGGACTATCCTGGACAGGGAGGGCGCCGGCAAGCGAAAAAGAAGAATTGGGGGTGCTAGGACGCGGACATTGATGGGCTTGCCGTGGTTTGGGGGCTGGGTAAAGGACTTGAGTGAGGGTCTGGGCCGGACGGGCCTCAACTCCAGAAACGGTACCATCCGTGTGTCATCGTCCCTTTTTTTTTCTTCCTTGGTGGTATTGTTCAATGTTCCCTGTGGACAGAAAGGTGCTAAGGTAAGGTATTTGCTGTGCCACAACACGCGCCGCTTGGCGCACCCGCACTTTTGTTGAGGTCAACCGTCATGGTCCTGGACACTGGGCAGGTAAAGACCAGAACTCAGGTCCCAGAGTGACAGAGTCCAAAGAGAATTGAGTTGAGGGAACCCGCACTGCCCTGGTAGAGAGCATCGTCCATTCTCAGGGTAGCTTCCGTGGTGGACTTCCATGTCCCGGTTTTGTGTTTCTTTCTGGCTGCAAGGTACGCGATACTTAAGCTACGCAAGCAAACATTTCAGAAGATGAAAATAATAAATAAAAGTACAGACGATTCTTGATGCTGTACGGATACATGGTCAAGGTACTTTAGCAGACCTGTTGCTCTTCTCTCGTTTACAAAAGTCCCTTAGCTGGTGTTTTATTTTCTTCTATTTTCTTACTCACTCTACTCAAAGCATCTATCTGTCCATTATTACGCCCTCTCTCGGACTAGTTATCAGCATCCTCGAATGAGAAAACAGACAGTCGAATTGATTGATCAACTCGCCAAGACCCAGAAAACAGCAAGAAACAAAACAAGCTTGGCGAGAGTCGACTGCAAGTAACGGTGGGATACCGCCCTTCACTCTCGCGCTCGCCCGTCTGTGTGCTCCGTCCTCCGTACCCCGGACCACATTGTACTTCTCAAGTTTCCCCCCCCCCCCCCTTTTGGCCCGTCTGTCTGCCTGTCTGTCTAGTATTTAGCTCCGGCTCTAGCAGTTAAGGTAGTCCTTCGGTTTTCCTTCACAGGTATTCCTATTTGTAGCTGTACGGAGTATCCGTACTACGGGCAGCATACATACTTGGGTCCTTTCCCTTGCCATTTCTTCAACGCGCGATTACCCCCCCGTGGAATTTCTTCAGCTCGTATTCCCAGCCCAGCTGCAACGCCCGGCCTCACCAGTTCCTGTTCACCCCCGAATCAGCCGTTCAGTCAGGTCGTCGTTCCGCTTGGCTGCTCTCTCCGGAACGAAGGAAAAGAAAGGGAAGAGACGACAAGTGAGAGAGAGGAAAAAAAAGATACAAGGCCGTCCCCCCTTCGCCGCACCCATCTAAGAAGGTATTCGCCCGTCGGCCTTTCGTTCCTTCCCATCGGCCTGCACTGACCCTCAGGCCCGTTTCTTTCCAGCTGCATCTTTCTCCTCCACTACGGATACTGCTACGGAGTAAGGTACCTTGCAGTTGTACATTTGCAATCCAATCGCCAACAGCTTTAAGCTCACTGTCGTCGTCCACCACACATCCCACGACCACCACAACTTTCTTCCTCCTCTCCTCTTCCTCATCACCTTTCCATTCTTTCCACTTCCTCCCGACATATCCGCCATTACTCACTCACTCCGCATTCCCTTTTTGAGGTCATATCTCCACTCAGCGCAGAAAAGGAGATAAACGGATCAATCCCACGGCACCCACCTCGTCAAACACCCAAACATTGTTTACTGGCACAATCCCATTTGTCGCCCTTTTCCGCCCCCCGACGCTTGCTACCTGCTCCCACCCCGATACGACCCTGCGACGTACGGATCCCAAAAAGACGAACCCACCGATCGCCACTATCGACGACTTCGTCCAACACCCTCGACTCGCAGCACCCACGATATTTTCTTGGGCCTCGTCTCGATCTTTTCGACGCCGCAGTGCTCGACGTCGAAAATCGACTCGGACGAACCAAACCTCAATCCCCGCTCGTCAATTGACCTCGGGACGCCTATCCTCTTTCCCCCCGACGATCCTCTCGCCCGATTCTCAGCCACAACCACAACCGCAGCCATGGCAGCAGCAAATCCCACCAACGTTATTCGGAGGTACGTCGCCTGTTCGAATTTCGTCGATCTAGACATTTGTCGGTCTTCGCCGCTGGCTACGCCCTCTTGCTGGCCACGCGCAAAGCTCGCAACATCTCTGCCTGCTTCTACCGAGCAGGGGCAGCCTGGTTTCTGTAACCTGTCTTATCTGCTCTTTGCTTGCTGACATGCTGTCTCCAGGAAACTCGTCATTGTAGGGGACGGTGCTTGCGGAAAGACTAGTTTGCTTAGCGTCTTCACACTTGGATATTTCCCTACCGTACGTTCGGTTTAACAATCCTCCCCAATGATCTGATCTCGAGTCTCAGGACCTTTGCTAACGATTGGTGTTTTGCAGCACTACGTGAGTACCACCAGCGACTTCTCTCTTCGCTTCGACGACCAATTTCCTAACGAGATTTTGACCCCATAGATTCCTACCGTCTTCGAGAACTACGTCACAGATTGCAGAGTAGATGGAAAGTCGGTGCAGCTTGCGCTATGGGATACCGCCGGACAGGAGGACTACGAGCGGCTACGTCCACTCGCCTATTCCAAGGCGCACGTCATCCTAGTCGGCTTCTCCATCGACACGCCCGATTCACTCGACAACGTCAAGCACAAGGTGGGTTTGACAATGATCGAGGCACTTCAAGATATTAGGGCTGGGCAGCTGACAGTAGGCTACAGTGGGTGGAAGAGGTTACCCGACTCTGCGAAGGCGTCCCCATCATCCTCGTCGGATTGAAGAAGGATCTCCGCGAAGATCCCGTAGCGATTGAGGAAATGCGAAAGAAGTCGATGCGCTTTGTCACACACCAAGAGGGCGACGCTGCCGCCAAGGAAATCGGCGCTCGGAAATACCTCGAATGCTCCAGTTTGAGCGGCGAGGGTGTGGACGATGTCTTTGAGGCTGCCACTCGCGCCGCCTTGTTGACGTTTGAGAAGGGTGAGGGAGGCGGCTGCTGCGTCATTCTGTGACGGAAGCAAAGCCCCTATCCATCCATCCATCATTCACTATTCTGCCTTTTCGACCGACAATGGGTGCAGGCACGACGCAAGCGAGCCGAGGAAATCCTGGGCGAAATTTTGCTGGAGAGATCAGGCTGGATCACAGAACCATGAGAATGCGGGCTACTTACCGTATGTGAACATCACGCCGGGTCCGATCCAAGAAGCACAGGATCACCTGAGCCAGCTCCCACAAACATCGTTGGGCAGCTGGCTTGCCCAAAAAGGGCCCTAAACACGCCTGGGTGAATGTCACTTGATCGGTACCTAAAACTCTCAGCAAGCTCGCCTGGTTCACACATTTCTCACAGCTCTCGCGAAAAAGCATGCGAGTTCAACTTTAATCCTCTCTCTCTCTCTTTTCATCTTCCCCTCAAGCGGCGTTACAAACAGCAGGAACAGCGCAAAACACTCAGCGGAAACGTTATTTATGGAAAAAAAAAAATCTAAGGGACTAACCCTTATTTTTCTTTCCATTGTCTGTATTAATAGGACAACAACCACATAGAACGAACGCACCCAAAAGTTCAAGACTAGGAAGCTGGTTATTTGGGAGCTTTGGAGTATCCACGTTCTGCTCCCTGTCAATGGGAGATGGCAGTCACTTTACGCAATAAAACTGATTAAAAGTTTCAAAATGCCTTCTTCAGAACCTTTCCAAAGAAATATTGATTAGTGACATGTGTTTTTTTTTCTTCCATTTTATACACTAGTTCATACAACAGAGAGTATGCTACAGCGGAATTGACACTCCCTTGGGCGTGTCTAGATTTTGGTACACTGCTGGTGAGCAAACTCCTCGACACCTTGTCCATCACTTTTTTTTTCCATCGCATCCACACCCCTTTTTTCATCCCTTTGTTTTTCCACGACTGCTCGTACGCTCATGCTCTTGTAACGACATCGTCTACCGCTTCCACTCGTGGTTCCACGCTTGCCGGGCAGGTGTCTCGCTCTGGTAGCGCGCGTACTCAATCGGTACTGCATTAGGTCCGTAGACGCCCTTCTTCTCCTGCGCGACACGGTACAGCCACCCTTCCTCCCTGGTTCCGGGACCAGCCGTGGTGCGGAGCTGCTCGTTGGCGGTGTACATGCTCTGCTGGATGCGGAGGAGCTCCCTCTCGCGGGCCTCGCGCTGCTGGCGCTGGAGAAGGAGCCAGGCGCGGTGGATGGTCCAGTGGCGGAGATGGCGGTTGCGAGCCATGCGCAGCGCCGGGGGCGCCTCGGCGAAGAGCTGCTTACGAATGTTTGCTATACGGGCGACGTATTCTGGGTTGATGACGTTGTCCGACTTGGATTTGCGGGCGGCGAGGGGGGTTGTGGTTGAGAGGGAGCGGGTTGTCGTGGTGGTCATTGTGACGGCGGCGGGTGTTGAGGTGGTGAGGGTTTGGCGGAGGCCGCTGCGGAGGGGTGCGAAGGAGGCCATTGTTGTGATTTTGTTGGGGTTTAAGCTTAGAATACGGCTTAAGGCGAGGCTGGAATATCAATCGTTGACGGGATCTGAAGTGGGTGGTGTCTGGCGGTGTTTGGGAGGACGGCCTCGTCGTTTCTTGAGCGGAGGTTCCGGATCTACGGCGCGAGGGGTCTCGATCTTTTCTTTGCGCTGCTGTGGATGACGCTTCTTGCGCTTGGATCCTGCAACGACTATCTCGGGTTGGGTGTCGTCTTCAATTACGACCGGGTGGTCAACTACAGTAGCGTGCTGGGCTTCGGGTTCTGGATCGTCGTGGTACCGTAGTTTAATTCGATGGCACGCGGCTATGATCTCGTCGGGGATCGGAATGTTGGCGAACACGTCGTGGTAGTCGTTTTCGAGGGAAAGTTGTCGCGATGCTGTTCGAAGGAAGAGGGAGCCAGCGTCGGGATGGTGTCTCCCCGTGTACTTTGCGTAAAGTGAGTGGATTGACTACCGAGAGGATCGTCGTTAGTAAGGTGAAGGTCTGGCGATGAAGCTCAGTGGGAAATTTTGGGAATGGGGAATGGAAGATGGAGGATGGTTTATCCGGACTCTGCGAGCTGGCTTGTGCCTGCAGGCGGGAGTGGATGGCATGGGGGAGTTGAGACCCCCTGCAGGGCGTGACATTTCAGCGGACCCAGCTCAGACAACTTGGAATTGTGCAAGTCATCCGCCATCCACAATCATCTACACTATTCTCCATCTGCCATGAAACCATCCTCGACGACAGGGAAAGAGGAAGAAGGAGGGGCCTGGGGATTCGAAAATCTTTTGCGACTTACCTGGCAGATTGAAGCGTCATATACCAAAGCAACACTGTACTCCCCCTGCTCAAAAACGAGTTCTCTAGCCTCCATCTCGTCCTCCACTTGGTGTAATCTCGCAAGATTATTCAGCACTGCACCTGGCGACACTGGGACTGGACTCCGATTAAATGACAAGACCATGAAGAGGGGCCTGAAGTTCTTGATCAAGCTTTCGGTGTTCCGGGTTGTATCTCTGGACCAGAGCCCGTTAGCGTCGTTGTACATGTCCCACACGAGCCAAGCAAACTCCCGTACGACTGGACTGGAGTCGAGGAAGCGCGCGTATGTCGCCGGGAAGCCTCCACCAAATCTCAGCGTCCACAAGGTGCAGATTCTCAAGAGGAGCTCATCGGATGGATCGTCGACGCGTTTCAGCAGTTCCGTGCACTCTGGTGGAAAGTCCAGAGTCGAAGAGGAGGAGGCGGCGGAGAATGCCATGAGGGTCACGAGCTGTGTGAGAACCTTTGGAAGGAGTATCTGCAAGCGCATGACATCCTCCCTGGGATCGCGGGGGACGCGGCCACGATAGGCGAAGTTGCGCCCATCGTAGGAGAAGATTGGGTCTCCCGGTGCGTGGCCGAGGAAGTACCTCGTGTGTGCCAGCGACTGGGCGACCCTGAGTACCTTACTCTCTTCCGCGTCCTCCTCCTCCTCCCCCTGCTTATTCGGACTCGAATCCTCTTCCGAGACGGCGGCGATCGGAGAGGAGGGTCTCTCGCTAGACAATACAGTCGGTGGACTGGTGCTCATGTCTAGCTCGAGCCATATAGCGTCCCAGTGGGCCTCGTTCTGGCACATGTCCATCTGTACCTGGAGGCGTCGTCGCTGCTCCTGAAGCCGCAGCGCCGTGGGTTTGACGAGCTGTTCATCGGCCCTCCACAATAAGTTCGCGTCTGGGTTGAGGCAGTCCACCGTAAGTCCCATATGATCCCAGAGGTCAAGGATGGAGTCCTCGAGAGCAATCTGCTGGCTCCGTGAGACTTGCAGAGCTAAGAGCGCGGTCTTGCAGAGGTCGTTAATATCGGCACGGGTTGTCTGCCAGATGCTTCGGAGGCCGTGCTTGTCGAGGAAGGCGTTCCAGCTCCGATGGAGGCCAGCGTCTCCTGGAGGCCTGTTGAAGGGACCTGGAAGACCTAGAGAGGACATGCTGGAATTTGTTAGACAGTGGTTAGTATCTCTCAGCGTCGTCACCAATGTAGGTGATGGTGAATACGATGCTGATAGTTAGCAAGGATGATGACGGATGAGTTGATGATCGAGCTAGTCAATAGTCGGTTCTTTCCCTATTGAGTCTACACACATCATAGATAAGAGAAGGAGCCATCTAGGAGATATTTCCTAGGCATGTTGTATCGGAGAAAAGTCATGCTTCGGAGAAAGACCATACTTCCTCTTCTTGCCTTGCTGTGGATGGCCATCAGGGACTTGATGAACCTTCAGTGTAGTTGGCATCCAATGCCGCAATACCTCCGCCGTTTCTATCAGCTCAGAATCATCATCCATTCGTCGTCTTCACATTAATTGCTACAGGGGCTTCTTCTATGGTTTGAATGATCGATTATCGAGGCTGGACATGGCCCCAGCTAGATCAGATTGCCTACGACCATAAGGAACGTCGGACTTACCTTCGTCAACGGCACAATCTTTGACTTTGAATAGCTGCGTTTAGCATTGATATCTAACTATTGTTCACTGTAACGAAGTGTGCTCTCCTGTCTATGGCTAGATTTCGTATCAATGAAACCCTCAAGGTATGTGGCATATTGCAACAGAGCAGAGCAAAAGTTGACCTTTTGAACCTCATTAACCATCATTTGGGGTTCGTATGAGCGATTTCTGGTCCTTGAGAAAGCCATCCCATTGTCATAATTAGGATGCATCTCATGGGACTTTGATGTCTATCCTTGATCTACACTGCCAACGCTCTTTGCCAGATCCATGTCTCGAGGTCACTCTGCAAAGACCCGGCATCCGGCTTAAGTAGCTTTTGCTTCTCTGATGTATGCAATGCCAACAATGGGTGCTTCATGCTGATGGTCGTAGCCCTAGTTAATTTAGTGTCTGACAAAAGCTGCCATCTCATCTAGCGGCTTTCTGATGCCGACAAACGGACGTTCTTCTTTGGTACGTGCGGGCCTCCACAAAGCCGGTTTGCCGGTGCCAGCTGCCTGCCTCTCCGCATAACCCACCGGCGCACATATTAGTGGATGCGGCTTCATGGTGATGACCGAGGATGTAGCTCATCAACACCACTCTTCCATGTCGCCATCCATGCAAACATAGAGCTAGGCGTCTTAAAAGTCAATGCTTCCTCTTCCCCAATTTCCATCCTCGGAAATCGAGACCCCGTCATTTTCTCGAGAGAAGCTTGGGGCACACATCCCTGACTGGGAGCAGCACATGTCACAGAACCTGCAAGAAGACGTCTAACTGAACTAATACTTTCCGGAACTCTTCCCGAAACCCCCACGATCGTGATCCCGCGTCTCCCCGAGCCGGTATCACCACGATAACTTAGCAAGACTTTTCACTTCGAACCAACCATGGAGCGTGCTCTCAACGATGAAGAATTCGTAACCGATTTGACGGGAGGAAACATGTCAGTCGTACGGTGGAAGCACACACCAGACGCTTCAGACTTTGACGATGCTGCGGCGTTTGAGGTTATTCGCAGGGCCATCATTTCAGAGATCAATGACCCGCAGAGGCTCCGCAAGGTCGCGGTCGAGATTGCGGCCCTGATACCAGCACACCGGCCCTCTGATAATGTTTTAAAGTCTGTGTGGTACTTGTTTGTGGGGTTGGCGCAACAGACGCCCTCTGGAAACATTGCGATGCTGGATCTGGTGGTGATTCTCGACCATTTAGCTCTGTCGCCTAGGACGACGGCTACGGTGACGGTGGTGAGTTTCAGCTTGGATTTGGTTATACACAACTGGTGCTGATTGCTTCGCAGGATGGCTTTGAGCAATTAAGTCGTCTTCACGGTCTAAACCAAGTCATCAGAGATTGCATGACCTGTAAGTCATACCACCAAAGCTGAAGGCACCTCTCAACAATATCTTTACTAACATGAAGCGAACGCCTAAAAGCACCGTACCAATCCACCAACAGGACGGAAACCTTAACCCGCTGGATCAACCTCAACGCATTCGCGTCCCTCCTCTGGTCCTACAACCTCATCGACGGCCGCGACCACGCCATACAACAGCTCCGCACCGCCTTCGAGGACCGCCGCTCCTCAGACGCCAGCGACC